GGGGAGAATTAACTATGGAGGCTCATCGGGCTTTGAAGGAAGTTCAGGATTTTATCTCTTCCTGTCCTCTCTTGTATAAATCATAGTAGAAAGTTATTGCTGTGTATTTTAGATACTAGAAGTACTCCTACTGCTGTATCGTGGCAGAATGCTCTTTTAAGATGAATTCATTTATCCCGTTCATGTAAAAGGTTTTTCAGACTTGTCCACAGGCTGTATCTCGATTAATAGCACAGTCAGGAAAGACAATATTTTTATATAAGACCTTATGAAATCATTGTCCGTTATAATGTTTTACTAGTTAATTGGCTATATCAATATTGTTCAGAATGGATAATTGCATTAGCCAATTATCCTGGTCAAATTACTCATCGTTATCCAAAAGATAAATTATTTCCTAAAGTTTTGTTAACCAATTTCTGATGTTCCTGTAAAATGTGAATCTTGTCTTTCTTTTCAGCCAGTTCCTCAGTATGGAGCAAATCCTCGTGGTTTACTTCCTAATCATATTTGGCGAGTGGATGTTATTCATCCTAGGTCTGCTTAAGTGTGTAAAAACTGACAATGCCCCTGGATACACAAGCAATAATGTTCTTTTTAAATTCCTTAATCTTAAGCCAAGATGGCCTCTCTGTGGCAGACAGGCAAGGGTCAAATAAACCTGTCAGGTATGCTGAAATAAAATGGCAGGATGCATTAACAAAGCAATGAAAAGGACCCAACCCTATGTTAATACGGGGTCGAGGCTATGTTTGTTTGTTTTTTTTTCACAGAATGAACAAGCTCCTCGTTGGCTGCCTGAGCATCTTGTGCAGCGTTGATGTGGTAACAACTGAATTATTTGGCTTTTGACCAATGAGCTTCTGGATATGGCGATGGTAGAATTAACACCATCTTTCCAGCTGATGCCAACTTTCCCTCATGTTTTGAGAAAGGTCATACTGGCACCCGGCAACCACTTTGGAGAAAATGTCATCATTACAGTGCTATGGCCATTCTCTTGTCTAATATTAGTACTGGTAATGTAATTTTTAAAGGACCAGCGGTTGGAATGCTGCCCTGCTTGGACTACCCTATGTTATTAGACTGGTCACCTCTTCATACATGTAGTTCTGGACTTCCTAGGAAAGGAGTTGTGGGAGGAATGTGGACTATTGATATGAAGAACTTTCAAACTGAATTGTGGAAATTAGTTGCTAGTATGGATTCGATAAATGTTTCCTGTATCCCAAAAGATAAATGTAAGGGAGATAATGTCACAAATGCCAAAGTCATGTCTTGTGTACCTGAACCATATGTCTTATTAATTGGTAATAATGTGATCACTGGTGATTATCCAAAATATAATGCAAGTTTTCTCATTGTAAAATCTCTAACTGCATTAGCTCTATTACCAAGGATGATTCAGTTGTTATTTTGAAGAATCCTCCTTTTGTTACGACACTGGTAAAGTTAGATGATATTTGGTATGATGATAAAAGCTTGCAAATTTTAAAAGAGTTATATAAGTTGTCATCTAGAGCCAAAAGAGCTATAGGTCTTGTCATTGTAGGAATTGTTTCTCTTATCTCTATGATTGCTACTGTCTCTACTTCTGCTGAGGCTTAGACTCAAGAAGTTCAAACTGCTAAGTTTGTAAATGGGTTAATGCATAATGTGACAAAAAATTGGGTAGAGCAAGAGAATGTGGATGAAGTGATGAAACAAAAATTAAATGCTTTATATTATACGGTAAATGTATTAGGAAACATGGTGCAACAAATTAGAATGAAAGAAAAGTTAAGATGCCGTGCGGCATATGACTCTATTTATGCTACTAAATTGAAATAAAATAGCACAGATAATGATAGGACAAAAATAGTATCTCATTTAAAAAGAGTTTGGATGTCTAATAATGATTCTCTTGATTTGTATGATTTGCACCAAAGAATTATAGAAATGCAGAATACCCCAGATATAGATATTTCTCCAGCAGAACAAGCTAATTTTTAAAAATCTGAAAAACTGGTTTCCTTCTGTAATTTCATTTAGAAATCTTCTTTTTATGATTGTTGCTCTTTGTATTGTTATAATAGGTATACTATGGATCCTCCCTTGTGTTGGTCATATATTAGCCAAGCGTTATAAAGAATTGCTGGGTAAAGTACATAAAATTCAATTTAAGGCCCTCCCCAGGCAAATGCAGAATGTGTAGCCAATGACGGGTAAGGAAAGAGACTTGCTCATGATCCTAAAACAGGAAGTAGCATGAAGTGCTATTAACCCTATGATGGGAAAATTGAGTTTAAGTTTCCTCATCCACCTAAGACAGGCAACATCCTTTATTTTGGAAAGGAACTGTTAGAAGCCTGGCTTACTTGCAAAGCAAGCTTAGCCTTGTACTATGAAACCAGCAAGACTAACTCCATCTTGATTAGAAAACCTTCTTTGCAGTGAACAATTCAAGGAAGGAAGATGTTAATAAATAAAAGTGACCAAAGGTCTCAGGTCTTAGGGAATGTAAAGCCTTAAATACTTATGGCTCAAACCCATTATCAGTATTTCACTGAAACTGATAAATCAATGGTTTGATTTATTAAGAAAAACCAGTGGGGAATGAAAGGACCAGTTATCAGAAACTCATTTCCTGGTAAAGTACAGTTAACCCCACTCTACCCGCTTGAGTGGTTTTTAACAAACAAACAACCCCCACCTGTGGTAAATCCCACCCAGATTGATCAACTGCCATAAAGTGGAATTCTTCTTCTTTGTAAGGGCACAAGGGATTTTTCCACATTCCTGCATCTGAAATAACTGATAAGATTCAAGTAGGTTTCCAAACTGTTTCCCTGAGCTATGGCTAGCCAATTGAAGGTGGACAAATACCCAAACTACTGTGGATGGCCAATCATGGCATGTATGGTTGGGCAGGGGAGTAGCAGAGGTATAAAAGGAGGGGCAGACATCAATTCTGGGCTCTCAGCTGCATGCTGCTGTGTCAGCATGCGGGAGCCCAGGTTCGAACTCGAAATAAACCTTGTTAATTCAGCTAATTGGCTCGGTGATCTTTTTGGGGATTTGCTCCATTACATCCCATATCTTAAAAATTCCTAGGAACATGTATAGTTCTAATAGGGCTTACAACAGAGCAGCCATCCTCGGTCACTCTGGCAGAGAAGTACCTTGGAGCAGCTGACACCAGGCAGGGCTATGAGAGGACTGACTTGGTACAATAACGCTCCAGAAAGCGTGGCTGCAATTCTTATTGGGCAGAACTAACTCAAACTCCTTGAACTGCTACATCCAGCCCACTAATAGTCATAAGCTCTGAGACCATTGGCCACTTTGTGACTCATTAGGCTGAATTCCTTTGAGCTTCTCTTTCTTTGTCACTAGTAGCCTATAGGCTAATGATACTGGATGATAACTCAACTTACTAAAGTAGAGTCAGAACCAACACATACCCACCCCGTGCTACATCAGTCCTTTGG